AGATTTGCCTTTTTTATATTTTTTATAGATGAGGCGCACATGCATTTTCTCTCTCACTCTGCTCTCTCTCTTTCTCTCTCTCTCCCTCACTCTCTCTCTCCCTTTCTCTCATTCTCTCTCTCGTCACACACACAGTCCCTCTCTCTCTCTCTCTTCTTCACTCTCTCCCTCACTCTCTCTCTCTCCCTCTCTCTCTCTCTCTCTCATTCTCTCTCTCGTCACACGCAGACTGTCTCTCTCTCTCTCTTAAGTTCAAGTTTGCTTTATTGACATGACAAATTTACATTTGTATTGTCAAAGCACAACAAAAATGATCTATATATTAAAAGTTAATTTAAAAAAAACAAACAAAAAAATTAAAACTAAATACAAACCAGGATTAATATGATAATGCAACAACTAAGAAGAGAAAGTGTTAATTATCAATAAATAATATCAAAGTTTATGTAAAAATAAAACAAAACCTATTGAATATGTGTAGTTTATAACAGGGAAGAAGAAAAAAAACAAAAACAAAACAAAAAACAGTTAATTATCAAATATATTTATGTGAGTAATAAGAGAAAAAAGAGAAGAAAAAAAGGACATCTATATTACATATGTACATATATAACTGTGAGTAAAGGCTGTGGTTTGGTGGTCACTCACTGTCTCGGAGTGTATGGCACTCATACACCTATCTGGCTGCAGTGGGCACTGCTGGACCCTCTCCTAATATAATTACTAATTTATCGTGATCTCCCAACGTCCTGAAGTTCTTTATCCGTTTTATAAATTGGTTAAAATATTTATTTCTAATAGACTCATATTTTGGGCAGTTTAGTAGGAAGTGCACCTCTGTCTCTACCTCACCTGTCCCGCAGTGACCGCACACTCCTCTACTCCTCTCTCACTAGCCAGGACTTTTTAAACCTGCCTCTCTCGATGGCCAGGCTGTGGTCACTGAGTCTGTATTTGGTGAGGAGCCGTCTCTGCGTCATATCTTGGACAGTAACAAGATATTCAGCCAATTTGTATTCCTGTTTTAGGGCCAGAAAGCAGTTCAGTCTGTTTTGTGAGTGAATTTGGTGTTTCCAATGTTCCAGGTAGGTATTTTTGCTTTGTTTAATAATTTGGTTTATTCTGATTGGTGTTTGGGAAGCAGTGCTGGTCAGTGATTTGGGGTTTTTGGGGGTGGTCAGTGAGGTGGTCAATCTCTGTACCAGCTGACACAGGGGACTCTTTTCAGGGTTCAGCTCCTGGGATCGGAGTGCCTGAAACTGCAATGTTGCTTTGGGAATTGATTTAAGGTGCATCTCTATCTCTCTCTCTCTCTCTCTCTCTCTCTCTCTCTCTCTCTCTCTCATATTCTCTCTCCTTCTCTCTTCTTCACTCTCTGTCTGTCATTCTCTCTCCATCACACGCACACTGTCTCTCTCTCTCTTTCTCTCATTCTCCCTCTTTCTCTCTTCTTCACTCTCTCTCTCACTTACTCTCTCCCTTTTTCTCTTTCTCCCTCCCTCACTCTCTCTCTTCTTCACTCTCTCCCTCACTCTCTCCCTCTCATTCTCTCTGTCACATGCACAGTCTATTTCTCTCTCTCTCCCTCACTCCCTCTATCGCTGTCTCTCTCTCCCTCACTTTCTCTGTCTCTGTCTCTCTCCCTCACTCTCTCTCTCTCGCTCTCTCTCTCTCTCTCTCTCTCTCTCTCTCTCTCTCTCTCTCTCTCTGAGTTAGAGGAGTGGGTGAATGTGCCCCTGAATGAAACCCTGGATGATGAGAGTGATGTGTAATTGAGTCGGGGTGAAACATATGAAATATTAGTGATAAAAATATTCTGGGCTAAAGGCCGGGGGCTCAGGCCAGGTGACGCCCCTGTGTGATAGGGTGCACACAGATGCATAGATTTCATTTTTCACAGTGGCTTTCAAAGAGAGTGAGGGGCGTATACAGTTTTACCTCCACACACTGTTTCAAACTTAGATACTTTCAACTTTTCCAATACTGTGTTGAAATTGTTGCACCCTCAATAGGCAGATACAGATCTTTAGTCTGTAGGTGCAAATTTGCAGTCTTTAATCATCCAACCATTTCCACCATGAGTTGTTTTTTGAGATCTGGATCAGGTGATGATCTGCTATCAAAGCTGGGTGGATCTGGCTGTCGTCCTGTTGCTGCTGTCCGTGGTCCTGAAACGAGTCGTGCGGCACCACAGCTCTGCTAGGAGAGCAAAACACGTTAATCGATTCGTGGGTTGTGCCATTATTGTTAATCTACACACAGCGTAAGAGCTGAGTCTGTGATAGCAGAGGATCAGGAGAAACATGCCTTGTTTGGGATCCTTGTTTGAATGTGGATAAATAGATGTATGTAGGATACTTTATTCATCCCCAAGCAGATTTGCATTGGCAGAATGCACCACAAGGAGGTTAGGCGATTAAAAGAAAGTTGATTTTCATTTCAAGGACATGGTTTCAACATCCATTATTGGATCCTTTATCAAAGAAGAACCTGTGATTGTGTCTTAATATGTGAGAATACTGTAGCTGGCAGTCCAAATTCAACAACTGAATTCATTACCATTGACCAGTTCTGCTTGCACATAGAGGAATATGACATCCAAACTCAAGGGGGCAGTGAGCACACTTGCCCAGAGCCCAGGGTTAGCTGCCTTGCTCAAGGACACTTCAGTCACATCCTGTCAGCTCAGGGGTTCGAAGCGGCGACCTTCTAGTCACAAAGCTGGTACTCTAACCTGCAGCCGACAACTGAGGACCTCTAAGAAACAGAAAACTTCCCCGACCGGGAATCGAACCCAGGCTATGGTGGTGAGAGCATTGAAGCCAAGCCACTAGACCAGCAGGGACAGAAGTAAAGAGTATCTAGAAGGACGAATGGTCACAATAAAATTGACCACTACAGTATTATGTAAAGACTTGGTTTTAATATCCATCAATTGGCTGCTATAAAGCAAGTTTCTAGAACGGCGTGTTTTGGACTGCCCAAATGCATCTACAGAAGATTAGGTGGTCAAGACAGTTGATCTTTTGGATTTTTAAGACATGAGCTGTTTGCTGATTTCTCAGTAGCTACCCAGCTAAAATTCCCATTCCACCTTAAATGGTGCAGCAGTTACATTCTGCCACCTCAGGCATTCAAACTGCTGCACTGTTTAAGGTGGAACAGGAAAATGCAGTGGGCAATAATAAATAATTATCACATTCCCCCCCTTTGAAGGCATATGATTCCCTAAATGTAACTAAAGCCCAGCAGTGAGGAGCTGAACGTTACCCTCCTCTGCTGTCACTGCAGACTGGCAGGGTCGCCTACAGAGCAGCGCTAGTAGCTGTTAATGAAGTAATGCTCTTTTTATTTGAGGGTCCCATTTCATAGTGGAAGATTTCAAACACTACAACTTGTAACTCAGTTCCAAGGGGCAAGGTGACACTCGAAAACAAGGGGTAGGGGTAAAAATAAAATGGGACTGGGCCTTAGTTTCAATATACATGCTGGGCTGCTCTATCAAAAAAATGCGGATGTGTCTTGATTTTCGAGAGTGACGTGTTTGGGAGTGACCAGATGCAACTATAGAAGACCGAGTGGTCAAAAGACAGGTGGCTTTTTGGAATAAGGTGTTTTTTTTATTATAAAGACAAATAAATAAAAAAAAGAAAACAACTAAAGCAGCAGTCTGATTCTTCATTTCTGAGAATGATGTGTTAAGCAGCATTCAAAACTGCCTTGGTGGGAGGAGACCAAGCTTGTGTGGTCAAAAGAAAGTTGCTTATCTGGAGTAATTTTTTTTAAAGACATGGTTTCATCCTCCAGTGTGTTGTATCAAAAAAATGAACTGGTGTCTTCACTGGTGAAAATGAGGTGGATGGTATTGCCCAAATCCAGCGACAGCAGACTGAGTGCTGAATAGAAGGCTGGCAAAGTTAAACATAGGCAAATTTTCTAGAAGGCAGAGCGATCAAAAGAGAGACTTTTTTTAAAAGATTTGATACCAACACCCATTTTTGGCTGCTTTCTCAAAAAGGGTGATCCTCCCTGCTGAAAACCATTAAGGGTGTCTGTTGGTTCCTGAGGGTTTAGTATGAGTTTGAGCTTTTTTTTAATGAGTTGACATCACAAAGTAAAGGATGCTAATGGTTTAACAGGTGACCAATGACTGATTCTAAAGGTAGCTTATGGTTTCCTAATGGGATCTAAATGTGTTCTACAGGAAACTAGTGGTCTCTGTTAGAAACCAGCCAATTCCTATTAGAAAGCAAAAACATTAGGTTTTAATCCTAATAGTTTCTCATGGTCCTTTTTCAGCAGGGGAGTTACATCTAGCACCGAATTAACATGTGCTGGAAGTGAAGACTGTACTCTGTACTTGTCTTTGGTCTTTTTAGATCTTCCTAACAAATTCCAGTTCTATAGAGAACCATGCAACAATCAAAGGCCCATCTGCATGCTTAAAGGGTTCTTTGCATGGAACCCTTTTTTTCAGCAGGGCTGTGTCTGGATTTTGGGGAGTGATGTGTTGGGAAGTGTCCAGATGCAGCTGTAGAAGACTGAGTGGTCAAAAGACAGATGTTTTTTTTCTGGAATAAGGACAAAGATATGAGAAATATAAGATGCTCAAAAGCAAAGACAGAAGTTTGGGTTCTCAAAAGAAAGTTAACTTTCTGGAATAAAGTATTTTTTATTATTTTTTAAGGGCTTCAGCAGAAACACAACCCAATCCCCGGAGCTGCTTTACCGTCTCCTACTTTGTTCTTTGGCTTATGGTGACTGAGTGATGATGGTCCGCAGGGAGGCGCGAGGAGGCTGCCGAGATTAATTCACTGGCGCTCGTGCCAGCGGGCTTCTCAGCTCGCGCGCTCTCCGTGCTGGAAAGCCACCAAGCCCGTGCTTCCTCCCTCCTTATCGCCCTTTCCACAAACACGCCGCTCAGGCAGGAGACCCGGAGCCCGCGCGGCATGGAGCGCGGAGACCCCCGACCACCCGCCCAGCGCCTGCGCTCCAGACCTTCTGCACGCGAGTCAAAGTTTGGGCAGCAGCGATGAGGTGAAAAGTGCCGCTGCGCGCCGAAGTGAAGCGGACGGACGGACCGAGTCTTCGAGCCGAGCGATGGATGAGTGCAGCCTGCAGGTCCAGGAGGTCGCCCTGATTTGACGATGGTCACCTGCTTTTCTGGGTCCAACAACTCCAGCGCGAGCGCCGGTTTACCTGCCTCCACCACGGCCATGCTCGCGGCTCTGATGGTCACTCTGGTGGTCGTGGTGGTGGCTGGAAACGCGTTGGTCATCCTCGCGTTCGTCGTGGACAAGAGCCTCAGAAATCAGAGCAATTACTTCTTCCTCAATTTGGCCATATCAGATTTTCTTGTTGGTGAGTATTAATATGTGTGGAGGCTTTTCCAGTTCAAAATGTTCTTTGCATGGTGAAAAAGGTTCTTCAGACAGATGAAAAATGTCCAGCATCACCCTTAAAAAGGTGGTTCTCAAGGGTTCTTTAGTAAACACAGTGGCTTTATATAGAACCATAAACACTCAATTGCTTAAATGGTTCGTTGCATGGTGAAACGGTTTTTCAGATTGATGGAGAATGTGTTGTATATGGTTCTAGATAAAACCTTTATATACAGGGTTCTAAATAGCACCAAAAAGGGTTCTGCTACATGGGCTGGAAATGATGACATTTAAGTAAAGACTGTCCTCGCCTTTGTTTTCTTTTCAAATCTTCATAACTAATTCCAATGTCCAGTATCACTCTTAAAAAGGTGGTTCTCAAGGGTTCTTTAATAAAGACAGGGGTTCTATATAGAACCTGAACACTCAAAGACCCACTTACATGCTTAAATGATTCTTTGCATTGTGAAAACATTCTTCAGATTGATGGAAAATGTGTTGTTTATGGTTCTGAAAGGGTTCTATATAGAACCAAAAAGGGTTCTGCTATTGTTACAAGCTTCACAACATAACAATAGCAGAACCCTTTTTGGTGCCATATAGAACCATTTACAACACATTCTCCATCAATCTGAAGAACCATTTCACCATGCAAAAAACCCTTTGTTCTTTGAGTGTTTGGGATTCTCTATAGAACCATTGTCCGTACTAAAGAACCCTTAAAGAAATATCTTTTGTAAGAGTGCAGTTACATACAAATACATAGATTCACAGCGTGTCTCCTGACCAGTTCACTCACTGTAGGGACCCAGCCCAGCCTCCTCTCAGTGAATGGGATCTGTTTGTTCCTCAGTTTTTCAAGGAGTGTAGGATTCAGCATAATATCTAATTTACAGTCTGCAGAGAGATAATAATCTGTAATCTGCATTATATGTAGTCTGAAAATGGTAATATGCGGTCTGTAGATAGTAATGTGTGGTGTGTATACAGTAATCTGTAGTTTGTAGATAGTGATCTGTATCCTGAACATAATTATCTGTAGTCTGTATTTAGTCATCTGTAGTCTGTTGGTAGCAAACTGAACTTTGTAAATAGTAATCTGTAGCCTGCAGATAGTAATCTGTAGTCAGTAGATCAAAATATGTAGTCTGAAAATGGTAATATGAAGTCTGTAGATTGTAATATGTAGTGTGTAGACAGTAATCTGTAGTTTGTAGATATTAATCTGTAGTCTACATATTGTTATTTGAAGTCTGTAGATATTAATATGTAGTTTTCAGATTGTAATCTGTAGTTTGCAGATAGTAATCTGTGGTCAGTGGATTGTAATATGCAGTCTGAAAATGGTAATATGAGGTTTGTAAAGAGTAATCTGTAGTGTGTAGACAGTAATCTGAAGTCTGTAAATAGTAATTTGTAATCAGTAGATAGTAATATGTAGTCTGAAAATGGTAATATGAGGTCTGTAGATAGAAATGTGTAGTGTGTCAACAGTAATCTGTAGTTTGTAGATAGTAATCTGTAGTCGGCATATAGCAAATCTGTAGATAATCTGTAGTGTGTAAATAGTCATTTGTAGGGTGTAGACAGTAATCTGTAGTCTGCATATAGTAATCTGAAGTCTGTAAATAGTAATTTGTCATCAGTAGATAGAAATATGTAGTCTGTAGATAGTAATCTGTAATGTGTAGATAGTACTTTGTAGTCTGTAGATATTAATCTGTAGTCTGTAGATAGTAATCTGTAGTTTGTGGATAGTAATCTGCAGTCAGTAAATTGTATGTAGTCAGAAAATGATAATATGAAGTCTGTAGACAATAATCTGTAGTCTGTAGTTAGTAATCTGTAGTCAGTAGATCATAGTATATAGCTGAAAATGGTAATATGAGGTCTGTAGATAGTAGTGTGTATTCACAGTAATCCATAGTTTTTACGTTATAATCTGTAGTCTGCATATAGTCATTTGAAGTCTGTAGATAATCTGTAGCCTGCAGATGTTAATCCGTAGTCTGTAGATAGTAATCTGTAGTTTGCAGATAGTAATCTATAGTTTTTAGGTAGTAAAATATAGTTTGTAGATAGTAATCAGTGGTCTGCAGATAGTAATCCTTAGTCTATTGAAGGTAATTAGTAGTCTGTAGATAGTCATTTGTAATCTGTATATGGTAGTATGTAGTCTGCAGATAGTAATCTATAGATATCTGTAGAGTCTGTAGTGAGATAGTCTTTTACAGCCTGTAAACAATAATCTTTAGTTATACATTTCTTTGCCAGTTTTGCTTGTAGTGAGTTTTACTTTATACTTAATAAGGTCAATGTGTCCTCCAGAGTTTCGCCTCCCTCTACTTGGCCCTTGGCATTAATCAGCAGCTGTGATGCACATTTCGTCACTGTGGTCCACGTAGCCTACATTCGCTGCCCGACCACTCAGCTTGACGTTGGCCACAATTACATGTGCATTGTGCTGTCACTGGAGTGTCTGTCCTCCCACACAATTGTCAACGTGTGCACACTAAGTCCTTATAAACAAGACTAAAAGCTCTTTTTAAGTGGTTTGGGTCTTCAACTGGCTCTTCTCTTTTGCAAGCATTATGTTGAAAGCAATAGAAGAAGCAAGAAGGCTTAGCTCTGCTGAAGAACATTCCAGACCCCAGGACGACGGGTCCTCTCATGATGTGGGTGGTTTTGACACCTAGCTTTTCGTGTTGTCCTCTCTGGTCTCAGTAAACGATGACTATGATTTAGGAACTTCAGCAGCTGACTTCAGTCAAACAAGACTGAAAGCTACGTCAGGCTCAAATGCCAATATCAGAGATTGATGTTGAGAGATCTTTGGTTTTCCTCCAGTGGTTTTCTACTGTCACTTTTAATCAGAGGCTAGAAAGAATGAAAGCCCATCCGAAGACCCTCAGGCACTCACGGCCTTTGAGCAGAGCCTTGCTGAAGCTTCCTGAAGTGCTGATTTGTTCATTTGGGGTCTCACTGGTGTAAAGTGTTGAAGCATCACTTTTCTTTGTACAGCTTTCATCTTCATGGAAGAGCAGCGGGAAATACGCAAACTAGTACTGAAATACATTGAAATGTGCTAAAATACAAACACTGCAGAATTTAGAAAGTGTCATTGAGGTTGACTAAGCTGGAGAAGATCATGTTGTGTGATTAAATGAGATGAAAAAGGACAAGGGAATGGTCCTGGAACTGATACGCCCCAGTAAGGTTCCTAAAAGGTTCTTTGCTATGGTTCTAGGAAAGAAACTTCAGTTTGTATAGAAATGTTATATTATATGTGGGTTCTGCACACTACAAAAAGTTCTTTAAAGAGCCCTCAATTGAAAGGTTAGGAACCAAAACTGGTTCTTCCACAGTCTTTGCAAAAAAGCATCTTACACAGTACTAAAAGTACTTACTAAAAGTAGTTCTTTGACTCGTAACAATAATGGAACCCTTTCGGGTGCTACAGAAAACCATAAAAAAAAATATCTTTTTAAAAAACTATAAGCGAGAGGTTCTCAATCATAGAGAAGAACATTTCACAGTGAAAGGAAACATTCAAGCAGTTTAATTTGTCATGGTTCTATATATAACCATTGCCTTTACTAAAGAACCCTCGTAGAACCCCTTTTTAAAGAATGTTTTTGGGAGCTTTATTTTAAGAGTGAGGGCAAGTGATGCCCTTAGAAATGCATATTAGAGACCAAAATAGCTGATGATGTCATTCTACATATACATGAGGCTACTTGGCTGCCATACTGGTACCTCCTCTCCCCACATTAAAATGAATGGTTGTCTATGAATGCAATGTAAATATATTCCCAAAGAATGTAAGTATAACTGAAATACAGCAAAGTTCCACAGTTTGCCACAAAGCTCACTTTAGGAGTTGTGGTGAGATATTTCATGTGGAAGTTTTTGTAAAAGTTTTAGAAAAAAAAAATAATAAAAAAAAAAATAAAGGACTGTTAAAAATAAAGGTTCCAGAATGGCACTTGGCTTGGACACACTCTTGTAACCTTTAATTGCTATACAAACGTTTATAAAAAATTCTTTAAATGAATAATTCAGTGAAAAATTAAAAGTACACAATTTTTTTTTGCTTCTTTAGTTTAGAGCTGGAGCTATGAGGCTAACATTGCTATCAAACATTAGAAGTCAATAGTCACCCAAATCCTTTCCGTAACTGCATCCCCAATACTTCTCTCAACGTTTTCAAACCACATCCAGGTCTTCATTAAGGTTGCGCAGACTTGTAGCTGTGGTTTAGGACACAGTGTGACTTACAGTGAGCTCTGAAACTGAACAAAACTTCAAAACTGCAGCTGGATGCTGTTTGTTAGTAACTTTGGCCTTGTAGCTCCAGCAACAGAAGAAGCAAATTTTGACACCATGTCTCAACTGATCAACTACACCTGTGGAAAGTGGAATTTTGTGTGAATTTCTTTTTTTGTTGTTGTTTTTTGTTTTGTTTTGTTTTGTTTTTTCTGCCAGACCATTTCTTTAAAGTGACATCCATTGTCAGTAGGCCTGTCACAATAACTACATAATCACCTAATCACAATTATTTGAGGCAAATGCATGTAAACTAAACACCTTTAAAGGGAGGTGGTGAGTAATGTTTGTTTGTTTAATCTTTGTTAATAACACCTTTAGAGGGCGGCAGTGAGTAAGGTTTGTTTATTCTGTGTTTGTTAATAACACCTATAGAGGGCAATGGTGAGTAACGTTTGTTTGAAGGTAATAACACCTTTAGAGGGCAGCAGTGAGTAACATTTGTTTGTTTGGTGTTTGTTAATTACATCTTTAGAGGGCGATGTGAGTAAGGTTTGTTTATTTGATGTTTGTTAATAACACCTATAGAGGGCAGTGGTGAGTAAAGTTTGTTTGAAGGTAATAACATCTTTAGAGGGCGGCAGTGAGTAACATTTGTTTGTTTGTTTGGTGTTAATTACATCTTTAGAGGGCAGCGGTGAGTAACATTTGTTTGATGCTTGTTAATTACATCTTTAGAGGGCGGAGGTAAACAGTGTTTGTTTACTTGGTGTTTGTGAATAACCTCTTTAGAGGGCAGCAATGAGTAACATTTGCTTAGTTTAATGTTTGTTTATAGCTCCTTTAGAGGGCGGTGGTGAGTAATGTTTATTTGGTGTTTGTTAATGACACTTTTAGAGGGTCTTTGTTTATTTGAGCTCTAGCTGTTTCTGTCATCAGTTGGGGGCTACTAAGTATTGACAGCTAGGTAGCAAGACAGCTAATCAGGCAATTTGGCTCCTTTAGGTTTGAACTGTAATCATCCATCCATCCATCATCTAAACCGCTTATCCTCCTGGGATATAATGAACAAAATAAATAAATAAATAAATAAATAAAACTCACATTCTACTACTACTACTGTTATGAATCAGGCATAACATTATGACCAGCAGCACTGCTGTGTCTGATCCACTCAGACCAGCGCAACACACACTAACACACCACCACAACAGTGTTACTGCAGTGCTGAGAATGATCCACCACCCAAATAGTACCTGCTCTGTGAGGGTCCATGGGGGTCCTGACCACTGAAGAACAGGGTAAAAGGGGGCTAACAAAGTATGCAGAGAAACAGATGGACTACAGTCTGTAACTGTAGAACTACAAAGTGCACCTATATAGTAAGTGGAGCTGATAAAATGGACAATGAGCGTAGAAACAAGAAGGTGGTCAGAATGTTATGCCTGATCCGTGTAGATATATGTGGCGATGCCCAGTCTGTCCTCCAAAGAAAAAAATTTAATGATGGGTTTTTTTGCATTCAGTAGTGAGACACTGCTCACCAGCCACTTATTTTTATCTCCGGTGGTGGAAGCGGTTGCAGGGTGTATTTCTTCTCCTTTTACTCCACGTGACATGTTTGATTGCAGCAATGACAGATGCTTTTGTGATCTTCCGTAATGATGGCTTTGCCTTGCTAGTGGCTGCATTGTTAGGCCAGCTTGTAATTTTGAGTTAACGGGCCTACTCCACACCGCATGTCCCTGAGATACGTGAGAGAATGACATGTTGGAATATTGATGAAGACTCACCAACTCAATCTGATATAGCTCTCATTATCTCCAGTCAGTGTGTCATGTGCTGTGCATTGTTATTCTCTGTTCAGGGGCGTTCTGTATCCCCGTCTACATGCCCTATATCCTGACAGGCCGCTGGATGCTGGGCCGAGGCCTCTGCAAGCTGTGGCTGGTGATGGACTATCTGCTGTGCACGGCTTCAGTCTTCAACATCGTCCTCATCAGCTACGACCGCTTCCTGTCTGTCACCAGAGCTGTACGTGAAGATTTCAAACGTGCCTACAGACACACACACACACACTCATACATGCATTTAGTAGGGTGTCTCAGCTGGTGTGCTATAGGGGAACAATATAGTGTGAATCATATATCAGGAACAACACAGACTGATAACAATACCACTATGTACCTCTGTGTATTAGAATTAAAGCAGAATTCCATCAGTTTTTCAATATTTCTGCATAATTCTGCAGTTGAGATGTAAAAAGTCATTCAAAGTGGTTTGATGTGACATTTAATTCTGAAGGAACTTACTGACTGAGCTTTCACTGGTGGTGACAGGAACCAGGGGTCACAAATAAAGTCCTTTTACTTACTTTTTTTCAGATTTTTTTTTTAACTTACTTGATGGTAATGAAATAGTAGCAAATCTGAAAAAAAGAATTTTTCTTTGGGGTAAAGAAAAAAAAATCAGTAAGTAAATCATCAAGTAAGTAAAAGGACTTTATTTGGGACCCCTGGTTCCTGTCACCACCAGTGAAAGCTCAGTCAGTATTCACCTTAAAACACCCTGCATGTACCCCTCCACCATGAACAGATTTTAAAAATATATTTAAAATATATTTCAGGGCAAAACCTTTTAAAAATTATCTTAAGCTTTGAAAGGCATTAAACTTTTCTGACGCCTGGTTCCTATCACCACCACTGTAAACAACTCTGACTCTCTAGAATGGAGCATTTCACACCAAACCACTCTGAATGACTTTGTTTACATCTGAAGCACTTCACTGTGCAGAACTTTTGAAAAATAACTGGAATTCCCCTTAAAGAAGGGATGCAAAGGGATATCTTCAACTTAGAGACATAACAAAGGGACTAAACAAGCCAGTTACATTGTCATTTTATATTAATTGAAGATAATTTTCATATAGGGGGGATTTAATTGCACTGGGGTCCATAAGATCCTCTGTTTGGATGGTTCCTTTTCACTGTGTTCAGACTGCAAGTCCAAATCTGATTTCCAGCATATCCAGATTGATTTTTTATAGTTTGGACGGCTAAAAACCACATGAAATCCGATTTTTGCAAATCGGATCCAAACCACATTTGGAATTGGAAAAGTGATTCTGATTGGTTTTTACACATTGGCACTCTGGCTGCTCAAATTGGATTTCAACGTGTTTTTTCGCCACTCGCAGCTCAACAAACAACAAAAATGTCAAATCTAGAGTGACAGCAACCCACGCAGATAGGCTAGTGATGTCTGGACACACAAATCCGATCTCATCGCTTGCAAATAACAGTCGTCTCAAAAGATCTGATTTGAGGAACTAATCCGATTTGCCTGCAGTCTGAATGTAACCTTTGACTCACCTTGGACATCGTGACAATTACTGTGATGCAAAACGTCCCTATTATGCCAAAAAAGAGCAAGTTTTTGTCAACATCTCTTTTTTCTCCATTTAAAACATACAATTGTGTTATTGCTTTAGGTCATAAAACACTTTGCCCTCCTTGAAAAAGTACCCAGAATCCGTCCTATTACTGTCCAAGACTGATGTAATTTCCATAAATTTGCATTTTACTCCTTTTTTTGATGTACAGAACCAACAATTTTGTAAGGGCTCCATCAGTTTCATCGCTCTGCAGATGGCTCAGCCTGTAAGGCCAACTCAATCAAAACTACAAATATATAATATATATGACAAGTTTTCATTCAGTGTAAACAACAATTTGCGCAAACTGCCCTTATTCGGTATTAAAGGCAGTTCAACTGAGTGAATGCAGCTTGTCCAGCAATCAAAAATAGCCTCTCAGGCAGTTACGAGACACGGGGCATCTCCGTAACAAGCCTGTCCCCTCTTACTGACCTTTCCATCCGGCTTGTGTTTGTTGTCTGAGCGCGGCCTCTGATGCTAACCACAAGGCTAAAAGTCAAGGCTAAAAGGGGAACACAGAAGTCAAACGATGCGCCGAGAAGCCAAAGAGACGTATTTTTACCCAGCGAGGTTTACTCTCTAATATCTGCTATAATGCACACAGTGGCTGATGAGAAGTGGTCACTTTTGTAACCTCATTTCGACATCACTAACAGCTCATGGCAAAAATAAGCACACCAAACAATATGACACCACTGTTACACAGCCAGAAGAGAATACTGAAAAGGGAATAAGGAGGGTCTAAAACAAGAAATACATTTTGCACTATGCCTGAAAAGGGCCAGTATCATGGAAAACCTTATTTTCCTCATTTTTTAAATGAAAGAGTTTGATAGAATGTGTTAGTTTCAAATGTATGCCAGTGCATAGAAGTCAATATACAGAAATGAATCTGCAAAATTTTGTATTCATTGTTTTTGTGAAAGCCAACTACATATAGGCTGTCCACCTATTCAGTTTACAGCAGTTTAGTCCCACCCATTCAGCCTGCACTGCTTTTTGAATGAAGCAAAATACAGTGCAGTGGTCATTTGTGTGCTTAGAATTATAAGAGTCTATCTGACATTTTTTTTGTCAAAATTCAGTGATGCACATACAATCAGTGATGCTCATTCTGAATCATTCATAACGTTCAAGCAAAATGGATCATTTGCTTCGAATTTTAATTCTGAAAATCTGGTTTTGCACATGACCTGATGTCACAGGATAATGGAATCAGGAATGTTTGTGGGTGAAATGACAGTTAATCATCATCAATTGCTGATTATTGTTGTTTTTTGACTAAAGATTCCTTCTTTAAAATCCCATACTTGGCGTTAAAAGGTTCTATCAGCAGTTCAGTCAGTGTGGTTGATGAATTCATGTTCTATCCATGTGCCCAAGCTCAACTGTAGGCTGTAAGAGAACGTAGTAGTTTGGCTATGATGTCCGTTCCCAAGCCACTGAAGTAAAATTAGCGATTACACTTATTTAAGGACTTAGAAAGAATGGATAGTGGTAAAACGTGAGCTGAAAGTACAGTAATACTGCTGGGTGACCAGTCAATTATAAGCAGTAACTTAGCTAGCGATACCTATGTTGTCAGTTCACAAGCCACTGAGGGAAATTTAGCATTTACACATATTTAATGTCTTAGTAAGAACAAATAGTGGCAAAAGGTGAGCTGAAAGTGTAGTAATACTGCTAAGTGACCAGTTAAATATAAGCAGTAACTAAGCTAGTGATACCCATTGCTAATGTTGGCTAAAGTTAGCTAGGTAGCCAGCTAGCTAAATTATCATCTCTCATCATCAGAGAACTAACTAACTAACTAACTAACTAATAAAAGCTGAATTCAGGGTAATATAGTTTATTGATCAGATAATACGGGGTCATTTTGGGTGTTATTAGTTTGCAAGGAAATAAAATACTAAAGTTAGCTACCTTGCTTATTTAGCTGGTGTTAGTTAGCCACCTTGCTAACTGATATCCAGCTTAATTAGGTAACTTACCTGATCTGCAAAGCAGCAAGCTTGCTATCAGGGTAGCAGGATGAATTAGCTAGCTAGCTAAAATAATGTCAGTGGAAATTTTCATTTTAGAAATGTAGAACGTGACCGTCGTGAGACAGGGGCAGTGAAGCACAGGCACAAGTACATTTCAAGCATTTTAGGTAATTATGACAACAGAATTTGTGTCTGTACCAGTCTGGTGAAACTTCCATTCCAGTTTGGGTTAATCACAGCTAGAACCTTTTAATTCTGAACATAAAGGAAGCTCTGACCATTAAAAGGTTCTTTCTGCATTTGGTCCATTGTGGAAAAGGCTATTTCTGAATATTTCAGGCTTTTAATACTCCGCAGTCGAAAGTATCTCAAAGCAATGACTTTGTTAAAATGAAAGCCATTTATGCACTACATAAAATTGCTATTTTGAAGTGAAGTCGTTGATAATATGTCAAAACTGGACTGAATGCAGACAGTGCAGACAACCTTGTCATTCTAGGCCCACGATATAGCAGTCTTAACAAAAGAACCTGATTCATTCTAAGGAAAATGGACATGTAAAAATGAATTATGACTATAAACCCACAAAATATGCAAAAATGGACCTCAGGAGAAAAACACAGGACAAATGTCCCTTTAAAAACACAACAAGAAACCGCTGTTTTAAATAAATTGATTGCCTTCTGAACGGAGAGGTCAGGACAAGATAAGGTTAGCTGAAAAATGAAGGGACTCCTCCATGCAAAATCCATAATTCAGTAGCGCTGTGGTAATGCCTCATCTTGGAGACACTTCGTGGTCTTTGATTTATGCAGATGAGCAAGAGTTAGCAAATTCTGCATGGTTAATAAGCTGGAAGATAAAGGTACTGACACCGAAGCTCATATTTGAAACGAAAAGGGCTCACGAGTACGGTCCTTGGTGTTCGGTGCCCATATTTATGAATATCTCAGTCAGAGTACTGCTCTAGGGTTATCTCCCCTGTCTGTGTCATTGTATTCATTAGGGGTATGAAAGACGCCTTTAGAAGTTTGATGAGATCCAGGTCTCACAAGTAATGTTCTATTCAGACATTAGTCTCAAAATCCAGGTGATACAATATCTGCTGGATCCACAGACCCACCGCTGTGGAATCAGGCCTGCTTCTCGAAGGATGTCAGCTTTCATAGTGAATCACACCTGTGTAGTGCGTGACTGAAAAATGAGGCCTGTAATCAGACAGATCCATGTATGTTTGGTAAATAGCTCCCCAGTGGACAACTAGTTGGCTGTTTTACAAGCACAGCATGGGCCATGCTTGATACATGCCCAGCGATCCTCATTTGGATCAGCAAAACAGACATCATCCCTTTAATATCTAGTAAATAATTAATGTGTGTGGGATTGAAAAACAATTGCACAGTTAAAAATAAAGGTGCTTCTTTGGAGCAATTCCATAGGAGAACCATATTTGGTTCCCTAAAGAACCTTTGAACGGAGTGTAGAGAGTGTACACTCTTAAAGAATATCATTTTCAAGGGTTCTTTAATAAAGGGAATGGTTCTATCTAGAACCATGAGTTCTATATAGAGCCATTTCATGCTTAAATGGTTCTTTGCATGGTGAAATAGTTC